AGGAACTTCGGTGATATGGAAAATGCTGCCGGTTCAAGATCATAGGTAGTGTTGCAAAGCCACCACTCTCCTAACTTCAAAGTTTGCATCTCTTGCATAAAATGCTCAAAGAAGATCTTATTAAAGCCACGCCATGGAAAGTATGCAGTGTCCATCATGGGCATATTCGAAGAGAGTTGAATTTCTTGGTTTTCGGTGGGAAGTCCTGTAATGCCAAAACCAAATCTTAAAAACTCTTTTGGGTTTTACTTGCAATTATAATCAACCGAGTAAACGTCAAATATTAAACTAACTCTTAAAGTTTAATTCTGTGATTTGATTCTAAATCTCTGACATAGTAGCACACTCTAGATTTGTACTTAACACCATACTCATGAATAACCAGCACATATCCGTAATTGACAAAGTCAATAAAAAGTTACATTTTGAATACTGGTATGATAACTCTTCGGCGAGGTTAATTCAAATATTTAACACATGGGAGAAGCAATTACATTACATAATTAAAAATTGATTTAATCACTCAGAAATCCTTTCTGATTACTTTTCTCAAATCGTTCAGTCACTTATTCTTATTCTTTTGTTTTAATTGAGTTTTATTTTTAAAAAATTGAAAAAATTAGGTAATTGTTAATTTCATACTAACACAATTAAGAGATAGACGTCAGACCTCAGACGTGACTTTTTTGAACTTTTTAATTATTTTATTTTTACTTTTTTTATAAAAATTGAAATAAAAAATTATCACATGTCAAGCTCATATTGTGTAACGTGACAATAACAGAATGTTCTGACATTAATAGTTTTACATGTCATTATCTCAATTTGGTTTCTATATTTTTATTTTGTCCCTTTTTGGTTAATGTATCTTTATTTTTTCTTAATTTATTCCTAATTCCTTGAAATTGAAACAAAATTTAATTTTTATATAAATCTTTACAAATAGTTTTATTAAAATTGATATTTTTATTTAATATTTTTAACAAGATTAAGTTTATTTAAATTTATATTTAGTTACTTATATAAATGTTAATTAATAACATGCAATTTCATTTTCTTAAAATAGAAAACTAGATCATGGAAAGGAAGTATCTTTAATTACTGTTCTTACGAAAATTTTCTTTAAATTTTTATTTGAAAAATTGAAATTTCAACATAGAATTTCATTTTTACATCAATAAACAAATTAATGACATGGAAATTAATTTTTTTAAAATAAAAATTAGAGAAAACTACATGAAAATAATGTAACTGGTTTTTTAAAAAATATAATTAACATTTATATAATTAATTAAATATAAATATAAATAAATTTAATCTTGTTAAAAATATTTAATAAAAATACCAATTTTAATAAAAATATTTATAAATATTTATATACAAATTAATTTTTTTTCAATTTGAGGAAAGATAAAATTGTTTAATTATTAATAAAATATAAGAACTAAATTGACACAATAAAAATACGAGAAACAAATTGAGATTAATACAATGACACGTTGTCTTATAATGACATGTGACACTATCAATGTCACTTCACACTGTCATTGTCACATGACACAAAGTCAGCTTGATACATGTCACTTTTTTTTATTTTTAAAAAATTAAAATTAAAATTAAAATAATTAAAGAAATATTTAAAAACTTCAAAAAAACTACAAACCAACATGTGACACCCTATTTAACGGTGTTCGTATGGAGTACAGATGCCAAAAAAATCTGTGCCTACAAGTATCTGCGGATAAAATATACAACAGATAGTTAGGATAATTATTACCCAAGTAACTTGTAGCGGGTATTTTAGTATCTGCTTCTAAACGGATCATATGCGAGTATTGTAGTATCTCATATGCAGCTACTTCTTATCCACAAAAAATAATAATAATTTAACTTATAGTTTTAAAAATAAATTTAATTAAAAATAAAATTAATTTATATTTTATTAGGTTGAATTTAATAAATTAAATTTTAATTTATATTTAATTTTATTTATATTATACTTTTTTGTAATTTTATTAAAATTTTATTTTAAAAATGTATGAAATATATTTTTTAAAATATTTGTGAACATTAGCGTGTGTCCGCGGGTTTTAAAATACCCACATGTATTTTTTAAGCGGTCGCGCACGGGTAGCGCGAGTTGATAGTCAGATTTTAACTTTGTGGTCGAGTTGTAAGTAAACATTATCCATGTTCTACCTGATCTGTTGTCAGAACTAACCATAACTACTTAATTGTTTCAATTTTTCAAGAACTCAACTAAAAAAAATAAGTGAAAGAATTATTTAAGAAAAACCATCGTAACCAAAAACTTATTAAACCATAAAAATTCAAAGGAAGGGAATAAGTACCATGAGAATCAATAATGCCATCTTGAATAAGGTTTGGGATGCAGGCAGCAAAAGCCAAGGAAGTTGCAGATGGTGGACTGAGAAGAGCCCCTTTGATTCCCATTTTATTTCCTACTTCCAAAGCCCAACCCATATTTATGGTAACAATTATACATGTTATCTTGTTCTCAACATCGGAGGCATCAATGTCTTGTATGAGCTTTGGAAGCAGAGCAGGCATGATGGTTTTCATTGAAACAAAAAGTTTGGCCACATCGCTTCTGTCATCCTGAGGGTCCAAACCATCAGGGAGAGTCACCACCTCTACCAGTGCCTCCTCCATGTTGTCACCACCTGCTGTATTGGCTCGTCTGTGGCTGAACTCTGTGTGGACAAAAGTGACCTTGCAACCATGTTTGGCCAAAAGAAGAGAAAACTGCATTAGGGGGTTCACATGTCCTTGAATTGGACATGGTAAACAAAGAAAGTGAGGGATGCCCATTTTGGTGAATCAATAGGTAGAAACAACAGAACAATTGGGAAGACTCGAATCAAGTGTAGGAACGAAATGTTTGGTGTTGTTGTTTGTATGTATGATGCTTTTGCTTTATATATGGTTATTAAAATGCATACAAGCAACTGATGTATCTCGTACTAGTCAAAGTTAGTGGGTTTGAAGAGACATGGTCAACTGTTTTTCTGGAATTAGAATAATAATCTTTCTAATGGTTTCTATAATATTGTTTTGTTATTTACTTTAACTTTAAAATGAACTCATTTGTGACTTTTATGCTTGTCTCGCAATGTGTCACTAATGACGTTTGTCCGTAGAATTTAAAATACTTTTTGAAATTTTACAAGAGTTTCAATTTTGAACAAATTAGAGAATCACGTAATGTATTGATTAATGAGTGATGATGGGTAATAGGTGGCGTGTTAATTAACACAAAACTGTGTTTGGGAGAAATTTCATGTAGCTGTAATTAATATATATGTCAACATTCATTCAATAAAATGTTCTCATCCAAAATTCAAACACCAATGTAAATTATTATTTGTAAAAGCCAGTAATGTCGTAAAAGAAAATATATTAAAGTTACATAAACTAAAGTTATAAGTTAATAGCTGAAAAGGTTGCTCTTAATTGACCAACTTTTATGTATGCATCCTTTGGGGTGATTTACTGTTGAGCAGCATTGTCATAGATTGAATTTGTGGTTAAAGTAAGGTTTGTTTTGAGGTATTTGGAAAGGAAAGTGATTATTTATGGATTTTAACGTTTCTTCAATTTTGGCGGCTGAACTCTGAGGGTATTTGTTGAAAAATCTTTTTTATTTTGAAACAATTTTTATTTGACATGCAATCCAAACTTCTGAGAACATGAAAAACAAGAACATCACCTGTAATCTCTTCCAGCAAAGAAGGAAATTGATTCTCATTATCCTGCAACTGAAAAACGTATTTTGGTTTTTATTAATAATAATCATAATAATAATAATAATAAATAAAATAATAATAAGAAATTAACGTTAACTTTACCCTTTTTCTTGAGAGTTAGTGCCTTTTTTTTCTCTGGTCAGGCAGAAATTCCGAATACATAGCACACACAGTAAAAGTTCATGTATAGTACAAATTTTTTAACATGAAAATTGAAGAATATCAACACAATATATACTGTTTTTTAGCATTTTTTATCAGACATGCAAGAATTTCATTATAGGTATGAATAATGAAATATCCTTCCACCTTCGTCGTTCTCCAATGGTCAGCACTAGCTTTCAATATATTGTTGTTTTCAACATTAATATAAGTACCGAGGCGTGCTCCACAAGTTAAAAGATCATTCGCATTAATATAAGTACTGATGGAGTGTAAGTTTTGCAGTCACTGCAATACTCTTCATCTGCCATATGTGTAGCTTACCTATCTTTGCTTGATTTGCAGAAGCATGTGAAAGAAATGGCCGTGTGTGAATTTGGGAGGCTTGGTGTTATATATATATATATATGCGTTGTGAGAATAGTGAGGATGTGGTAATCTTATTGAAGATTTACGTCATTAATTTACCACCAACTTAAATCACATTGTTTCGTACATTTAATACTTATTTAGATTAACAGGTGTTTGTTTAATGTTAAACATAAAAATATATGGGCAACATTAATTGATATAGATTATTTATAGAAAATAAACATATATATATATATATATATATATATATATATATATATATACCCTTTCTTCCTTCTATTTTTTTTAGTTTTTTTCTCAGATTTTTAGTTTTCTTCTCAGATTTTTATTTTTATTTACTCCTTTCATTTTTTTATGATGGTAGTTTAAAGTTTTTTTTATTACATAAACCGAGCAAATTATCTCATTTTTACTTTAAATTTTATTTTAAGTAAATCACCAATTATACTGATTTCAATTATTTTTTATTTTATTAAACATTTACGTATACTTATATTTTTATTTTTATCATTAGAAATAATTTTCTCTCCGTGTTAAATAAATTAAGGTATAATTCGAGAAAAAAATATGTTACTTTAAAATTTAAAAAAAAAAATTTAAAACATTTTTACGTTTACATTTTAAATTAATAGATATAATTCATTTAAATTCACATTACAAATGTGTTGAATAATATAAATAACCCTTTAATACGTAAAAGAAATTAATGTACTAAATTAAAAATTATATATTTATTTATTTTTAAAATTTAGAGATTAATATATATTAAAGTTTGAAACTACGGCAATTTCGCTTCTAAAATTAAAGACTAAAATCATATTTAATATTTTTAAAAATACTCTTTCAAATGAGATTGTTTGATCCAAAAGGCATTCCTCAATTACGAATCCAGAAAGTATACATACCACTCAATATGAAGTCTTCCCCTAAGTAATCCTGAAACACGTTACAGAAAAAAAGAAGAAAAAAAAAAAAGCGAAAAACAAAACTTAGAGTGATGAGACACGACATTGTAAAACAAAATTTAATATTTTATTTTAAAGAGGTAGTTTGGTCTGTTCACACACTATGAGAGGGCATGACGAAATTATGAAAGTATAGGAAGTTGGTGCCTCAATACTGTTGAGGACCGACGCATGACCAAACTTATGGATTTGGCACATCATATTAGATATAAAACTAAGTTTATTTGTGACATTTTTAAGGCTTTTCCATTGAGAAAATAACAGTATAATTTTAGTAAAAAAAAACTCTCAAATACGTATATTTGCTATATCTAGAGTAAACCATTCTTCAACATCACTATTTCTTTGCGGGTATGTATGCCTACAAAGTTGTAACTACATTCAGTATGCATGGACTCACAAATTGCAGGACGCTTTGTAAGAACACTTGGTTGAATAGAATACACATGCAGCTATATGTAAACAAATGCAACTTCAAATGCAGATAAAAATATTGTTCTTACATGATGGCATTTGACTCAAGCTGATATGAAGCAGATAAGAAATACCTTACCTGTTTGTTGGCTATATATTACATGCAAAAGATTCTTCTTTTGTCTTCCATTGATGTGTGCTTTATTGAAGCTATTTTTAATTTCCATTACAGAAAAGAGAAATTTCTACAAACAGATTGCCATTAAGCTACTGTCTCAACCACACTTGGTAGTCTGCTCCTTTGTCAACAAACTTCTGCCAACTCCCTTCCAACTGGTTCTCTTTGGAGGGATTCCAATCAAACTGTCCCAGCTTCATTACTAATGCCTCACCAACCTGAGCAACATAACCTTCATTGTTTGCATGGTATATCTTGATAGAGCTCCGACAATGGATGCCGCCTCGTCGTCGAGCTTCAATCAACTCGGTTATCACATCATGGATGCCGAAATCATAGAAATGATCATAAAATATTACAGGCTGCAGAAAAAAACACAATACGGTGCCTCAGATTTGTGTAAGCAAACACATTACTTGAATTCCTTAGTCCTTTCCAACAAGAAACTAAATTTAAGTGATCACAAATACCATTCATGCTTTTTCAAGACAACATTATTCAACTATCGTCAACAATGACAGGTATATGAAAGTATTGGATGCTATTTTATTAAGGACTCACAGTTCCAGGATGAGTCAAAATATATGCATATCCTTGCATGAGTTTATCCCGTGGGAATGGCCAGTGACCCTGAAAGTAAAAAGAAGAAATATTAAATCCGTTTTTCTCATTATCTAGCATGGTTAATTAGGTAGTAATTGAGCTTAGAAGGCGGTAATATGATATGAATGCAACAATGTCATAGTAGTAACTATCACGGAAAGAGAAAACCTTTGTAATTCAATAATCACTGACAACACATTCTTTTCCAACTGTTTTTTGTCATCTCTCCTGGGAAACTCAGAACATGTTTCTGGGTTCCTTACAAAAATTTTATGTGTCATACTTCATCACAGAGAGAGAGAGAGAGAGAGAGATGAAACCTGTGTGGACCCAGTATCATGGTTCTCTAAGAATGTAACAGCACGAGAAGGCCACCATCCCATCACTCCTGTCGGTTTCCCTTGAGGATCAATCAGTCTCCAATATTCGTTATGCAGAGCAGAATGAAGTATCCCCTGGGAAAGGGTTACATACAGAAACAATAACAATTTTGCAGCAAGATAATACAAAGTTATATCCTGAAACTTTTTCTTTTATGATTCACCTTCCTCCTCCAGTGACAAAAAGAAGTCAAAACTTGGCTAAGATAATTGCTAAACAAAAAAAAAAACTACAGCAGTCAAATAACAGCTATGCTGCTAATTGTAATAACAAAGTTTGAGTTTGAAAACTCCATGTGAGATATATAAGTCTTTCTCATCTAGACAACAGGACTTAAAAGAATATGAACATTAATTATTGTGGATAGGGATACCTTTGTCGTTATATCAAATGCAGATGAAGTACCACCAGTTGCATTAATCCAATTCACTATCCGTTGCCGATGAGGATCTAATCATTATAAACACCATAAATAGCTTGTAAGACAATAACATAAAAATAGCGTATATTATAAAAATGTTTCAAATATTGCAATAGGACCAACAGATAATAAATAAGCATAAAGTATCACATATTTGGTATGAACACAAATGGTGATACCATAGAATTTCTTGAAGTCACCATATTCAACGAGAAAAATTAGTAACATAAAAAAAAAGTATGTCTTCATAGCTGGGAAATAAGTTGATGACAAATGCATAGTTGTAAATCCATATTATCGCTTACAAACTGTCACATGCAGTGTAGTTTCTTAAAAGGTACAGAGACTACTAAGTTCGATTCTTCTTGCAAATGAATGCTCAAACTGTTTCATTCCTATGATATATCATATATTTACTTATAGAACGTCAAACAATGTTCACAGTAGCATAACTGAAATTTACTGATTTCAATTTGTATAGCTTCCAGTTACAACCTGCCAGTTGAATTCTTGTTTTCATTCCTTTTTTATGTTGCTTCCTACGGCCAATGTGAACTGAGCACATATCTCCTCATGATGGGTAATTGGTTCTTGGAACAAAGGTCGCTCTTATGACCTACAGGACTGCTCTTACATGGTCTTTTTGGATTTAAAACCTGTCTTCTTGTCCCTTTAATTAAATCTTATAATGGTCCTTGTCAGAAACAAAAAAGTATATATAAAATATGATTTTATCACACTACTAGAATATATGGAAATATCCAAGAAGTATCATATATTAGATTATATGTTAGGATTAGTTTCCCTATTTCCTTATTATCTCTTAAGATTAGTTGCTATATCTCCTTATCTTATCATGTTTGGTTTCACTAATTTGTTAATTTTACTACTAGTAGTATAAATAACAGTTAGTACTTTAGGTTTTATGAGCATATCAACTAGTCAATACATTGTAACACATCTCCATTAACATCAATTCAGTGTTTCATTCTCTTTTATCTCTCTTCCTCCCCTAAATTGAAACCTAACAATTTCAACAAACACAATCCGAACTCAACTTTAATAAGGATAGACTAATATCAAATGAGTCTGCAAGCAGTGAAAAATATAACCTTGGTTGTAGCACAAACTTCCGTGTTCATAGCCCAAGCTGTCCCAATATTCTCCAATAGCAAATACGGGATTTGATGCTTCAATATATTCTTTTACGTATGTGCCAGAGAAGCCTCTGCCGACAGAATATGAAAAGTTAAATTTTACATGAGAATAAGCTGGTTAAGAAACAAAAAGAACCAGATCATCTTCTCAAGTTCCATGTGATAAAAGCTAAAGATGTATACCAAAATAGTAAAGATAAACTACAGAAAGATTTCAGATGTCAGGCTCCTTTGAACATACTTCAATAAGTATCTTCTTATTCACTTGTACGACCATTGATATGAGATATGAAGGTAAGACTCCTATTGACAATTTTATTCTTTAACTACACTATTTTCAGTAAGCAAACTAAAATTATGATAATGTTCTTGAATACTTCTTAGAAATGAGTCTTCTTTTACACTATGAAAAAGCATGCTGCTGACAACTATTACAAACTCTATTTTAGCCTTTTCCAATGGCTAGTTTTTGCCAAAGAAACATTTGACCTCAAAGCTTAAGCTATTAAGCAAGGACCAAAGAATGGTTTTTAAAACTCTACCACACCAATTCAACATGATAGATCATCCATTGAACTTGAAATGTGATTGACCTTATATACTGAAACTAAAGGCTACTTTAATGTGTTGACAAAAAATTAGGTCAGAGCGGAATGGATTGAATTCTAGGCCACTCGGTTTATTTCTTGGCTCTCCCAATACATTGCAGTAGTGACTACAGAGGACTTGATCCTTATTAACTGCAATATAGAAGCAAATCAAAACTGTCTTTCATCAATCAATATACACAAAAATGGACTTGTCACACATCACAAGAGTGGTGAAGGTTATGCCAATTGTGTGATTGTTAGCATTTACTTAGGAATTTCTTCTAAATTTTGTGGTCAGTTACTGATAATACAAACTGATAAAAGAGCAATTTAGTAGGACTTTGTTAATGATATATGATTAGATTACTGTAAATATAGAAACTCGTAATGCTAGAAATTAGGGGTCCATTTTAATTTAATTTCCATGCATGCTGAAGTACGTTGCTTATTCCTTGATTATAAATAAACATCAATAATGAGGATAACACATTTTTTTCAGTAAAACCTACACACTTAATTAGTAAAGAATTTGTCATAAACCTTTAGTATGCTTCAGCAGACAAAAAAAATACCTAACAAAGTCAAGACGCCATCCATCAAAACCTATATCATTGCGAAGCCAGTTCAACCAACCCTTGATATCTTTCCTTACAAAGTCCTGAGAATGGTCAATATTGGGTGCAGCATGGAAGATATCACCTACATATAGCATTAGAAAGGTCTAGATAAGTAAAACCTCCCAATCATCAATATAGTAACTGGTAAAGTATTATGCTGTCTTATATTGTGGAAGTATCTAGTAAAGTTTTGTGCAGTCTTATTGAGGAAGACTTGCCATATTTTAGACTTTCACCTCAATAAGACACAAGTACAGTGCACTCTTTTTAGGACCTTGTCAATCTTGATTTGAAAGTGGCAAACACTCAGATTAATTACAAAAAAATGGTTTCATGAGATTCTTCTAGGATGTATAAATATACCACTCGAAGGATTTCCACGCCCCTCAAAATTTGGATCATCACATACAATTGCTTCAGGTCCCCATGAAAGCTTGCCACCAAAAATGTTCCAAACACCATTTGGACTCTGAAACAAAATAAAAGTTGTTGATCTACATAAAGCCACTTGATGGTCATCATTATGAACTGTGCCTTTAAAAATATTGGCCCAAGTTTCATATGCTAGTGTTGGATATAAAAATTACATAATACTGAGTCAAAGATCAAAACAATGATAGGCAACCTTGCATGTCCAGACTAAGACAACCCACAATTCATAAATTTCTGCAGATTTTAGATCAAAGTGAATTCAAAGACAAGTGCTTTCATAGAATTGCTTTCTTAGAATTTTCTTGCCTTCAGTGTTAACATTGGTTTATTAGTTGTCAAATTGTGAATAAAACTTTTAGTCAACGGGTAGAGTTGGGTTGCATGGCTAGATCAAGTAGCATCATATTCCAGAATCACGAACCAGCTTTCTAAAAGCTTAAGCTATTAGGTAGAATACTGGAATAGTTTTACATTTCTCTCACACCTTACATAAGAGTGACTTGAACTTAAATCACGAATACTCAACTCACAGGTCACCTGTCCTGAAAAATAATTTCTCTACCAACAATCGAGGAGGCAGGGGAAGATCAGTTGACCATATTATATTGTGGGGCTTACAGTATCAGAAAAATGACCAAAAAAACCTAAGAAAATGAAGGTAATGTTTTAGACCAGAAACTCTGCTCTCAAACACTTCAAACAACCACAATATCTTCAAATTTTAAACTTTTAATCAGTGGCCCAAACTATGTGTGATATCCTTTCTCAGTAAATATAAAAAGAACTCAGGCTAAACAATAATTTACCTGTTTGTGTGCACATCGATGGTTAAGTACAACATCTCCAAAGGCCTATTTACAAA